GCTCTTAGGAAAACATTTGTCTGAATAATGAAATGTGAATTTCTGATTGCCAATGTAACAAGAAACAGCACGGGCAGCTGCAGGGCACTCTTCTTGCAATCTTTTGTATAAAAGCCTCAGCCCCAACTTGCACAGGTACAATTAAAAGCTGGAGGAATGTTTACTATCTATAGGCTTTGTCTCATCACCAAAATGGATCTACAGTGCGAGTTAGTCACCATACAACTGAGTGAACACCCATCTGGCTTGGCTTTGTCCTCCAAGCTTATCTCAAATACCCACAGCTCCATCACCAGAAGGTTCCCATGGCACAGGTTGGGTCCTCGAACATAGGCACCCTGCCTGCATCACTGCATCCAAACTCAGCTATCAGTAAGGCAGTTCATAAGGGATGGGGCAGAAAATGAGAAAGCATCTCTTTGTAAGACACCTCCTCGATATCCATCAGATTGGCTCTTGGTTTTGCACACAAGAGGTGATGAGAACTGGTCAGAAGGAAACCTAGGGCAGCCCTGCCCTCTGTGCTCAGAGCTGCTCTCCCTCTTCCGCTGTTTGCCGAGTTCAGCTCCAGCTCTTGGTGTGGATTTGGCTTTAAGGGGCTTTCCTGAGGTACTCAGCTGCTATTACTACTGGCAGAGGAAAAGAAAATCTCTAAGGAATCATAGAATAGAGCTTGGGTTGGGAGGGACCTCAAAGATCATGATGCTCCAACCTCCCTGCTGCATGCAGGGCCGCCAACCTCCACATCTAACAGCAGACCAGGTTGCCCAGGGCCCCAGAAAGACCTGAGGGAAGGAAAGCTTAAGAAATTTAGAGAAAGAACTAGCAAAATAACCTGGCTGGGTCTTAATTTCTGCACTTTCAGAAGCCCTCTCGCATTGAGTTTAAAATTTGCCACCTTTAAATCCCTATCTGCAAAGGGCAATACTGATGTAGGGAGCGCCGGCGCTGGCTGACACAAACAAGATTCCCAGCCTCGTCAAAATTCTGCATGGGAAACGTCTGGAGCTGGACATGCCCACTTTGTCCTTAGCTCACCCTGTGCTGCTTCAGCAGGCGCAGCTCTGCTTCCAACAAGCACAGCAAAGGGAGCCAGGCAGTATAATGCTGACTGCTGCCATCATAGCAGGCGCTTGAGACAGCGCAGACAAGAGATCTAAGATCAGAAGCAGGCATTGAGATGGGAAAGGGACAAATCCTCAGTAAGAGCAAAGGTTGAAAATCCTTTCTGAGACGTGATTCGAGACTTCTGACACTGAGAAAGCTGCTGGATTTCCTCACATGTAAGCAGCAGGAGTGCCAGTCTCTAAGGATGCACACCCTGATTGCTTTGCTCCTTCCGGCTGAGTCCTACTGCCTGCTCACCCAACAAACACCACGGTCAGAAAGCAATGGAGATGACTGGACAGAAGACAACCTGAGAGCTGATTAAAAAAAAGAACAACGCCCAGTTCTTAGTAAGAGGAAGGGCAAAAAATGCTGATCTTGCATATGCAGGAAGTTGTTTACACTGCCTAAGAGGGACAGGCTGCAGGGTGGTACAGCTGGGGGAGCAAATATAAGGTTTTACACACTAAGTCTGGGACACTGAACTTACAAAGCAGCACAACTTCAATCACACAAAGCCTTTTAAAAGTGTAACTCGTGTGTTGGTGCAGTAAGTGCATCCCAAGGGGATGGATTATACTGAGCCAACTGTCCAGAAGTTGAAAGGCTGCGTTAAGTAGGAAACCAATTTCTCCCCTCCTTTTGAAGTTGGCATGAAAGAAGATATAAAACAGCTGTCTGCAGAAAGATCACAAGGAAAGCCTGTGTTCCGTGTGGTAATATTGCCACACACTTATTTGTCTTGAGACGTTGCTGCTTTTTGGGAAATAATGAGCATGTTCAATGGAAGGATAACAAGAAAAGCCCAAAAGCTGAAGGCGGGAGGTCAGTGCAGAGGAGGATACACTTCTGTGAAGCCTCAGAAGTTTCCACATTTGAGCAAGAAAACGTGGGATTGCTCCTCTTCTGTTTATGGATACGTAAACACAAAACAGCAATGGGAAAGTAAGCACTGAAGTAACCAGCAGGGCTCCAACACCACCACCATGAGTGTCATGGGAACACACGGCCCTTCCATGGCTGAAATCTCAGCACCAGACCCAACAGCACAGAACTCATTTGGGCTCAGTGTGCACTTCACCCAACAGCAGCCACCAGCGTGGGACTGAGCTGGCTGTGCTGGGAGCCCTCTGTGCAAGGAGCATTCGGGCTGGGATAAGAGAGCAATAAAAGCAGGATGCTGGCTACAAGGCTCGGATCACCCACCTACCTGAGAGGTTAAATGGCCTCTTAGAGGCAAGTTATCCATTTCAAAGTGTCAGCACTTCCGAAGACCAGCCCTCTAGTATTTCTGCTGGAGAAGATCCAGCAGCTCTGCATTGTAGTAGCAGCATGCAGCACAACCTCTCCAAGCAGACACGAGGGCTTCAAGGCAACAGCTTGTCTCCCTGCTTCGAAGCAGGTCTGCCTTATTAAACAAGGCCTGAGAGATGTCTATTAATCTATCCTTGTAAATCGCTGGACATCTACTTGGGCTCTGCAGTACAGCTGAAAGTGTTTTCCTAAAGCCTGATCTAAAATTTTCCTTGTCTCACAGATGGCATTCATTTTTCCTCATCGTAATGAAGACAGAAAGCAGTGCAGTGCTTTCCCGTTTTCAACATGCTGCAAGTGATGATAAGAAGAAGAAAAATCTGCCGATGTATCCTTGATACAGAAGCGTTGAGTCACCTGGTGTGATCTCATAGAATCCCATCACAGAATGGCTTAGGTTGGAGGGGACCCTAAAGATCTGAAGATCATCCCATGGGTGCCAGCCTCTCAATGAGGCTGCCCAGGATCCCACCCCACCCAGCCTTGAATGCCTCCAAAGATGGGGCACCCACCACCTTTATGGGCAACCTGTTCCAGTGCCTCACAGCACCCTCTGAATAAAACAGTTCTTCTTAAAACCTGACCTAAATCTCCCCTCTTTTAGTTTAAAGCCACCCCTCCTTGTCCCATCACTATCAGACAGTGTATAAAGTCAGTCTTCCTCCTGCTTGCAAGCTCTCCAAGTACCGGAAGGCTGCACTGAAGGGTCTCCCCAAAGCCTTTTCTTCTTTGAGCCGAACAAACCCACCTCCCTCAGCCTTTCTTCATAGGACAGGTGCTCCAGCCCTGCTGATCATTGAAGAAAAGCTGAGAAAGCTGCAGAAACTAAAGGGAAGGGTATATTCTCAATGATTTACCAGAGAGCTTGCAACTTCCATTAGGAAGTTAATAAAATCCATGTTAGACTATGGGCAGAAACCCAGGCAGCATGCTGTAAAATAGCTCAGACAAGCAGCAGTGTGTCCCTGCATACAAATACAGGCTCTCTAAGGAATGCCTCATTCCATCCCCAGACTGCCACTCTGATCCTTTATCCTGAGTGTTGTGCACACACAGCAGAAAGAGGTCTTTGCCTTCAGATGTTATGGTCTAACTACTGCTTCTCCTTGTGTTTTCTCCCTGCTTTAAGCAGCCACATGGTGCAGTGGGAAAACAAGTGTCACACGAAAGGAGCTGTATGGCAACATGTATACAGCTCAGAGGACCTTGAGACCTTACAAAAAACTTGCAGCTGTAATAGGTTTCATACTACTTCCACCCCAAAGATGCATGCAGAGGGAAATAGCTTCATACACAGCACAGCTCCAGCTGAGAGCAGCCTTTCTGAGACAGCACAGAAGGTGCAAGCCACGTGCTCAGCCCTGCCCCTGATCCTGTCTGGCTGTGCACTGTGCCAGGTCAGCTAAGGGCACGAGAAAGCAGCATTGAGGACAGCTCTGCAGGAGAGAGCTGCACAAAAGGCTCCATTCATAGGTCAGAGGCATCGCTGGCAGCCAGAAAACTGCACAATATAAGGAGAGGAGAAGAACTGGAGATGACAAGTTATCAGGAGGTAAAGAGCCAGTGGGACAGGTGGGTATGGGATGTAATACACGAGACCAAAATCTTTTCTTGTTTACAGATAGGAGCCTGCAGACTCAACATGTATTTGCATCCACAGAACCAGGGCAGGGAAGGGCTCAGCCTCAACAGAAGGAGCAAAGACACAGGGGGAGAGCAGGGGATTCTGAGCATGCAAATTAAGATTATTATCTGCAAACAAACAAACAAAATTGTAAAGACTTTTACTTGTAAAACATGAAAGAACCAACAAAGGCTCATTTTTACTTCTAAGAGAGAAAAACGTTCGGCAAAACAAGGGAGATGTGAAGAGGAGGGAGGTGTGTTTTGTGATAAGCCTTCAACAATGTTCCTGTTGAGTGCAGGCACTGAGCTGGAAGAAAAGAAAACCTCTGATAAAGCAAGAAATTCTGCAAAGACAGCACTGGCTCCCATAGTTGAAACAGGAATTAAAATACCAACATGCATATCCTCCTCACAGAGAGGGGAGGGATTTCTATACGTCCACTTTGACCAAGCAGGGCTGTGCAGGCCACTGAGAAAACTCCTTTTGCTTTTCACAGAATGGCCCAGGTTGGAAGGGACCTCAAGGACCACAAAGCTCCAATCCCCCCCCACCACAGGCAGCGTCACCAACCTCCACATTTAATGCTAGACCAGGCTGCCCAGGACTTCATATAACCTCAGGACTTCATATAACCTGGCCTTGAACACCTGCAAGGATGGACAGGGCATCCACAGCCTCAACGGGCAGCCTGTCGCTTTTATAAAAGCAAACTAATTAAAAAAAGCAGCCAGTAAAGCACATCTGTACTCATTAGCTGATCAAAGGGGTTTGAAACCAAACGTTCCTGCAGGTCTGAGGGGGTTTTATACTTGCATGAGGCAAATAAGCAAGAAAGAAAAAAAGCAAGCAAGCAAATGCTCGGCTTCTTTTCTTATCTTCCCATTTTTATCTACTTGGTTTTTTGAAGCTCCAACTCCGCACCACCTTCAAAAGGAAAAGGAGACGTACTCACCCTTTGCAATCTGAACGAAGCCAAGAATGATGATCAAAGCCAGCGCCAGCAACTTGGCTGCAGCAAAGGCATCCTGAACACGGGTAGCAGCTTTCACACTGTAGCAGTTCACTGCCGTGAGGAGCACTGCAAGAAACGGACGGGACAGACGCGTCAGTACTCAGCAAAGCACCGAGAACAAATCAGGACAGATCAGCATTTGCTTTTTGCTACAGCCCAAACAAACTCGAGGAGCAGCTTATAAACAGATGCACTCCACTGAGCTCACAGCTGCAGCTGTGTGCTTTGGTTTTGGGGTTCTCAGGGCACTGCCATCTTCCTCAACCGTAGGCCGAATTTTGGGTACCAAACGTCACGTTTTGAGCTGCGTTGCCCAGGGCCTGAAATAGCAACTTGTCACACACTGCTCTCCATGCTCCTCCATTCTGTGCTGGGTTTCTACAGCAGTGTGAATGAAGCACGTGCTTTTAGGGACGAGGAATCATCCTTCTGCATCGGAAAGAACATTTCTGAGGGCATCTAAATAAAAGTGGTGACTGGGGCCAATGGCATCAAAGCAGTCCTCTGCGATCCCTGCCCAGACAATTGATGTTGTAGTTGTGCGGAAACATCATAGAGATGGCTGGGCAGCTTCCAGAACTGATGCATTGTTCCCAGTTTAACAATAGCACCTAAGAGGCCGTCAGGGCCACTTTGTGCTGCCTAAACATGAAAGAAAAGAAGGCAGACCTGACACATTCAGCGAGCTGTGAAACAAACAAAGCCCACAGGTCAGCGGGGAGAATGGGAAGAGAACCCCATGAACCCAAGGAAGCTCTCCTCCTGCACTGGACCCACACCCCCCATAGTGCCAGGAAGGTCACACAGACTGTCACAGCCACTGCCAGAGCATGTCACAGAGACAGGCAAATGTCACGCAGGGAATGCTGCTGCCCCACGTGCTGGATGTCACCCCTCACTCCCTGCACAGTGTCAGCACAGTGCCCATGGCAGGCCTCCACAGCCAGCAGGACAGACGTCATCTTGCCTTCTTTAGCCACAGGCTTCTCCCCCCCCAGGGCTCTGAGACTTTCCCACTCAGATTGCAGCTTGTATTTTTACCCCCCCGGGAGCCAGGCAAGCTTTTCTAAAGCTGGTACAGGACGGAGAGAGTCCAGAAGTGCTGCCCCATTACGGGACGTGCTTAAATACAGCCTGGCCACTGCACTCCTTCATGTGCCTGTCACACATTGCCCTTTCGCTCTGGCCTCTGCCCTTGTGACAAGGCTCTTCTCACTCCTCACAGCACCTTTTCAGAGAGCCAAAGAGCTGTTTCTCCTGGTCACAGGCTACGCTCATGTTTTAAAGCCCAGAGCATTGATGGAGGTATTTCAGCCTTCATCAGAGGAGATGCGAGGCAGCCCATCAGCACAGCGCTCTACCTGCAGTACAGGGGACTGCTGGGACAGACTACTGCCAGGCAAGCTAAGCTGCATGTGTGCTGCAGACAGAGGGGAGGAAGGCTGATGGGGTAGAAGGGAGAAATACAGTGGCTGGATGGCTCTATCACTGCCCAGTGAGAGTGCACCGTGCCCTGAGATCCCCAACACACACAGCATCATAGTGAAAACCACACCAGGACCCTACTCTGAAGCAAGATGACCCCTAAATTACAGCCATGCCCAAACTGATGTGGGCACCAGCCCAATGTGAGGCAGTAGGATGGAGCAGCAGTGCCTTGGCTCTCTGGCTCATGGCACAGAGGATTATTTTCTTGCTCATCAGCTCACGTCCTGCTTCCAGGAAGGGCACGAGGGGAATTTGCACACTGAATTGCATACTGAGAAATGAAACGATGGGAGGAGGAACAAGCACTGACATTTTAAAGGGTCATATTGGCTTACAGTCAGCCTCCGCCCTTATCCTAAGTGACCACATTGGGAAGAGCTCAGAGAAGCACAGGGAGCCCACAGCAGGGCTGGGAATGGCCATGCTGGAACTGATGAGTGTGCTCAGATGCACCCAGGGCTGGCTGCAGAGCCCAGTCCCCAGGGACTCCAGTTTCTGGATCTGACAGCAACGATGAGGCTCACAGCTCCAATGAATGTCACAGAGCAATAGGACTTCCTGGTGACTCAGAGCACACATAGGCAAGAAGGGAAGCAAGTTGCATCATTCATTCACAAGGGCCTATAAAAGCCTGCTACAGCCTAGCACCATGGTGACAGGCATCAGCATAAGAGGATTTAGGAGCTGCAAACTGCTCAGCTAAGGGCTGCAGGAAAAGCTGGTAGAGGAACCTTGGGCAGTGAAGGATGCAACCAGCCCCAGAGCAGCACCCTGCCATGTCCCAGAACACTGCAGCTGCTTTCAGGATTGTCAGCTTTTACTTTGCTCCTTGCAAAGCTTTATGGATCTCGTGTCATCTGAACACAAGAGAGCATAAAGGTGGAAAAGGAGAGAGCTGGAAATCTTCACAAAGAAAAGCAAAGGAGCCAACACAAACTAAAAGAATGAAGATTTTTAGATACACTCTTTTTGGAATCACATATTTGGCACTTAGAGGAGCACAGCTGCTTGGAAGGTGGTGCCTTGGAACTGACCCAGTGCAGCAAGGCTGCAGGTGACAGAACAGTGCATTCTGGCTGCACTGCACATGGCAGAAAGCAAGCGATGAGGAAAGCAGCACACACACCAGGCACGTTCCCCCAAATATAACCCACTATCACACAACGCCTTCACCACGTGTTGCTCAGGAGATAGGGCACACTGCAAAGACACCGCGTCCCCAGGTCCAGCAACACTGAGCAGTGGAGGCTGGGGCACATCTGCCTCCAACATCTGCTGAGAGGAACACCGTGCAGATAAACGGGGAGGAAAAAGGACTAAAATAGACAGCAAGGTCAACTTACTGTATGGGAAGGAAAACAGACAACGCCAAGCAGATATAATTCATCTGCTGGAAGCACCCCTGGTGAATCCTAGCGGGGAGGATGAGCAGAGAACTGCGGATCCAGGACTCACTTTGACTGGTGATTAAGCTAAAAATAAACCTCCCCTTGTTTACAGAGGGATATTTAAAGCATGAGCTAACACATCTAAAAGCACATTTTCCCGTTAGTGAAGACAGCCCTTGGAGGTGCAACATGGACATTCTCTTCCCCATTTAGGCATTCTGTTTCTTTGACAATAGCGTGGAGGCTGAACCAGCAGGCTGCCGGCCTGGGATCGTTTTTCACCTTCTGGTTGTGTACAAAGCCTGCTGGTCGGGCTGTACATAAAAGGCAAAAGCTTCCACGCAGCTCAAAATCCAAAAGCAACACAAGCTTTTGCATTTAGCCCTTAAGAACATAGCGGTGCCTTTGTAAAAACAAGAGAACGCTTTGGGCAAGAGACAGAACACGGCTGAGATCTTCTCCCACAGAAGTCGTGGTTCAGAGCCCTTCTAGTCACAGTCTCCCTGCTTTGCTTTCCTCACCATGCAATAATATTTGTCTTTCCCAAACGAGTGCAGTGAAGTTACTACGCTTAAATGCTTTCCAATGCGAGATGGGTTACAAAAACAAACCGACACAACAGACTGCCCCACCAGAACCACACAGACCCTGGCACACAACAACAGACTGAGTGCTTTCTCAGCAAAAGACAAATCCCAGCAGTTGCTCAATTTCTCAGGACAGCAGAGCTCAGCTCTCCCAAGTTCCAGGTTTTATTCCTCTGCTCTGAAGTACCCCCCGTGGAGCTGAGGGACTGCTGGCATCCCTCCATGCACCTCCAAGTGCTTCATATGAAGCTGTGCTCTCACAGCTTTGAGGTCCACCAGCACAACAGCCCTGGGAAACATTCAACCACACTGCATCTTCCTGAAGGAGCAGCTGTATGGGTGCTGCCAGGAAGCAGCTCTGCAACGGGGCAGCCCTGTGCTCAGCAACGGGGCAGCCCTGTGCTCAGCGTGCCCCATGGGGACCAAGGAATCCCCAAGGAGGGATTCGAGGAATTATTCTATGGATATGCATTCTAGCACCATCTGAAGTGCCACGATCTGCCCGACCCAGCAGCCCCACTCAAAAGGGCTTTGCATAATTGGGATAACGGGAGCCAGACTGCTGCGGAGATCTCAAGTGTAAGAGGGTACTATTTTTTATTTTATTCCTTGGTGGAAGTGGAAGAGATGCTTGCTGGCATTTCACAGGGTATTCTTACAAAGTACTACGCACCTTCATCTCCACTAGGGACCTCTCCTACGACGCAGTCCAGCTATTTGGGTAAGCTTCCCTCCAGGGCACTCCAACCAGGCCAGCAGGTGAAGGTAACACCAGCTGACAGCCAGGGGCTTTCCAAGAGAAATGAGGCTTCCCAAAGGTAACACTGGGTCCAGCTTCAATTATCTGCTCTGCCCTGGTAGTGTCAGCTTACCCCAGGCACGTCACTCACACTGTTCAGCTGGCATTCGCTGGCACAATTGGGTGATTTCCCCCTTACACTGGTAGGAACCAAGGATAAACTGACAAACACAACATAGAACCCAGGACAACATCCACTCCCTTTCATATTTTATAGGGATATTTCTTTGAACTTCCTTTAAACTTCCTTCCTTTAAGCTTTCCTGGTCTCAAGTCCCAAACACAGGATAACAGTGGGAATAAACCCCTACAAAGCAGATACAGAAAGGGATAGAGACAAGCCCACGATGAACAGTAACATCATCAGTGTCCAAAAAACTAAATACAGGAGGGAGGAAATCTCCCCTGTGGGCATGTGCTTCTACCCAAAGCAAACAGTGTATGAATGGAGCGCTAACACAGGTAAAGCAGGGCTTGGCAGTTATGATGCAACAGTCTTGGCAGTTATCCTTGTGAAAAGGGCAGGGCTGCAGCTTTCATGGGTAATGGAAGGTGGCCAGGGATAGGAAATGGAAAAAAGACAGCGCTCGGGGCGGCTCCATTTGAACAAATGCAAATGGACAAGGAGCTCTGTGTCCATGGGGCATCAAAGGATCTGATTCCAGCAGCCTTTGTCACCCTCTGACAGCAAAACAGAGTTTGCTCAGTACTTATCAAAGATCCTTAGCAGGTTTTCAGGTGAAACAGCGCTGAAATGGATGCTGGAGTTCTCGAGGCACTGGCGCTGCTGCCCATGCTCCGTGC